ATTTAATTTCAATATTTTATTGATGGTAATATAATAAAATATATATATTTTCTCTTTCATATTAATTATTTTTTAAGAATCCTCAAAATTTAGAGAATTTTACATTCGGATTTTTTTCCTACTTTATCATTTTTACAAAATTTATTTAAACAAAAAAATTTGACTAAAATATGTGTTTTCTCCATTTTTAAAGAATGTATCAGAGATGCTCATACTAGGAGCATAAAAGGAGACTTTTTCGAATAAACTTATAAGTTTAAACCAGATCTTTTAATAAACTTGAAAAATAAGTTAACTTATATACGCTACGGTTTCACAAGATTGAACCTTCTTTGTGAAATCGAAAAAAAAGGAGTTCCAGAACACGAGCGAGTGGACTTTCATTCTCAGGACCGTCTCGTCTATGTACTCGAGGCCTCCCTCGATTGCTGGAAGATGTGCGCGATACGATAAAGGCGCCTGGGAGAAAACAATGAAAAGTCGGGTTTTGAAACTACTTGATTTATGAGTCGACTGATCAATTACAATAAAAAGTAGCAATTTCCATAAAAAATATGGGGTTCATTTAACTTGTGAAGATCGAACACCAACTCTACGAGTAGAAAACGTCAGTTACTCCATTCGCTTTGCTGCTCGCCCTGATTCGCTGGTCAAACAATTAAATTATAAGCAAACATCTATTTTAACCAAATGATATGAAAAAAGTCATCTTCTAATATTGTAGTGGAGATGCTCTTAAAATATGCACAAAGTTCTTTCAAAGTCTTTTAAGTGCATGTGTCATTGTCACATAATCCCAGTACTTTTTAAATTTGTGGTTGTTCGAATCAGCTTGTATGACTATATATATATATATATATATATATAGAGAGAGAGAGAGAGAGAGAGAGAGATGTTGGTTATTATACAATATTTTACATTCGTACAAACAATATAACTCAATTTCAACCGTCAATTTAATTTGATTAATATGTGATTTCATATAAGTTCTGATTGTTTCTTAATATAAAGTATTGATCATAATTAATGAATCCTATTATCTTCCATAAATATTCAAATCATAATAAATAAACCCTAATCATTTCTATAAATATCTCAATTAATTAGAATGCATTGGTTGTACAAATGGACATGGTTACATTTGAAATATACCATATATATATATATATATATATAATGTAAATGAGGTGAAAGAGTGTATGAGAATCAGAGTTAATATGAGAAATGTAAGAAGGGATTTGCATTGTTGATCACATTTAATCTCAAACCCATCCGTGAACAGTGCTTGATACGAGGATTGATCTGGTACATCTTGGTGCATCTCGTCTTCGTACATCTCATTCTAATGTGCATCCAAGGGTGGAGATTCCTTCTTACGTTTCTCATCTTAACTGTCTTTTTCACCATTAACCAAACCCTTGTGAATCATACATTAGTTGTATAAAGGGAGTTTTAGAGGAAAACCTCAGCAAAATGAAAATTTGAAAGACAATCTATCAACCGTAAGATTAATCGATCTAATGGATTTGATTAAATAGACGGTTACAATTTTATTTTTAAATTAAAAAATCTCTCACCCTGTATTTTTAAAGTCGAGAAAATACGAAATATGATCAAAATTCGAATGAAACAAATTACACCAAAATAATAATTTATATTTCCCCCCTTTAATTTGATATAATATTTGTATATTTTTTCATCTGCTTTTTCGTAGTCTTTTGATTTTTCATTTATTTACTGTTTTCCCTTGAACTTGATCATAGCTGTATAAATATACAGCTAAAAATACCATTTTAAGAAGCGTTTTACAATTTCATAAAATATTATATACTAAAAAATGTTATATGTCACTTACTACATCATTTTGTCATCCATTTAAGCATAAACGTGAAGAAAAAAACAAGAACAATACTTATACGTAACTTCATTATATATCAAGTACACACAATTCCACATCCTATTTTTCCCCGTTCAATCACGAGAACATACCAAATTTACTGATCCTTACCCTTCGTGTTTTTCCAAACCAACACTTCAAAAGTGAGTAATCTTATGATTCTGATTTCTATCTATACTTAAAATAGTTCGTAGCAAATCAAAACGACTGTTTCCCAAAACCGTATATCTTCAAAACTCAAATTGCTAACAAACATTCTTGTCGTGTGAAACTTATTATTTTAATGACTCAAAACCGGTTTGTCCCTTTACGTTTTATATATTGATTTTTTTAGTAAAAGGCAGAATAATATTTCACCCTTTCTATATATTGATTTATTGCGACTAATACAAACGGAAAATACCAAAATCTAGTAAAACGACAATAAGTTTGGTATTTATTCCACTAAACAGTAAGTAAATACTAAAATGTCTTAATTCGTTAGGTTGTCATAAAAAAGCTTGAGAGAGTTGAATAAATTGGAAATCTATTTTACCATATAAACTTACATTTTTTGCTTGATGTGTGCAACTGTGTGTTAGATTTCATCAGACAAATAAAGATTCGGGTCACTTGATTACTGTAACATCTCAGACTAACTGCACTAGAAATTAATCGGTTTGGCCACCCCTGTACCCGCGTTTTTATAATGCGTCTGATAAAGAATATATCCAATCCTTGTAAGGAAACCTTCATTTCCTTCCCTAAAAGATGTGAGGTCTTACAATCTGACCTTCTTGGGAACCCAGCGTCCCGTTGGCACACTGCTCCATGTCCCAACTCTAATACCATTTGTAACATCCTATTGGGAGCCTAGCGTCCTTGCTGGCACACTAGTCCCATTTCCAACTATGATACCATCAGTAACATCTCAGACTAAATGTACCAGGTATTGTTCGTTTTGTATATACATGGACTCACGGTTTTAAAAACGCTATGATAAAGAAGGTATACAGTCCTCATAAGACAACCTTCGTTCCCTCCCTAAACGATGTGAGATCTTACAATCTAACCCTCTTGCAAACCTAACGTCCTTGTTGGCAAACCAGTCTGGTTCCCCATTCTCATACCATCCATAACATTCCCTTGGGAGCACAACATCCTCCCTGGCACACAAGTCCAATTTCCGTTACTGATACCATCAATAACAGCTCAGGTTAACAGTATCAAGTATTGTTCGTTTTTTTATACATAAAGTACTGTTTGTTGATGCATATTACTTAAAATTCAAGGTTACAGGTAAATTATGCG